TACTAGAACCTTCCCTATTCAAAGTTCATTCCCCTTCATTTTGCTACATAGTTGAGTCTTTCAGACCTCCTAGTAGTCTGAAAAGTGTTAGATTCCAAATTTACTTTTTTAAAAAAATGCTTTCTTCTCCAAATCCCACCAGATCTTTCTCCTAAACTGTTATTCATCTCCTCCTTGGGTTCTGGTATTCTTTATCATTCTCTAACTGGATTGTCAGATTCTAGGCTGTCTTCCCTGCGAACTTCCAGCTCCTGTCCTCATCCATTATATATATTTTTAAGCTACTTAGAAATTTCCCCCATGGCACAATTTCTCTTTATCCAATAAAGAATTGTTTTCATTACTATCTCATCCCAGGAATCACTGAATCTGGAGTGTGAAAGGAGTGCTCTGTGTGATTCAGAAAAGTCTGACTTGTAAGATGGAGGCACAGAGAATGAGTGGGTCAAGACTGATCAGCTAAAGGGAGAAGCGCAGTCCTCCGCGCCTGCCTCCCGCCCCTTCTCTTTCCTGCCCCCCACTCCTCCTCCTGTCTGCCCAGCTGCTCCCCACCTTGAATCCATGGAATACATGCAAATTTCATGCCCAGAGGAAAGTTTATAGTTCTGTTTATTCTTCAGGCTTCCGTATATCAGTAAATGGGGAAGCCTCTAGCACTTGAGACTAAACCTAAACTATTTTAAGGATAGATTGATTGCTGTAATATAATGGTGAGTCTTTCTGTTCACATTTCAGCTACTCCTTGACCATTCTCCCTTGTTTGGCCTATTAGAGCTGCTAAAGTGAGTCCAGGCTCTCTTAGGAAGCAGAAGAAAGCCAGGACAGAGTGCAGGAGAAACACACACGTAGGCTCTTATTATTGTAACATCTAGGATCTGTTTCATGATACTCAGAGTTTAATATATGATGTGTGTATTTATTTTTCTAAATTAGACTAGCTCTAGTTTGAGGCCCACAAGCTAGGTTTGGTGATAAATCCAGTCCATTGGGTTCCTTCTACTCATTTAGCTTATAAAAAGTCTAAACTGTGTCATCCATTTGGAAGGCAGTCAGCGGGTCAGTCATTTCCTCAAGATCATCTTGCCCAGGAGGACATTCAAAAGGCTCCCAAGGCTCAGAACTGAGTGCTCCATCCACACAGGCACCAACACAATTCCAGTGGAGAACCTTCCACCCCAGAGCCGCTGTGGTTGAGCAGGTTCTGCACTTTTCCTCTCTCTAGAACCTGTATCATCTGTTCCATTTCCCAGTCTTGAGTAAGGCAGCAGAGGGGGTTGGCACATGTAATATGTGCCTTTCTATTCAAATATAAAGCTTGTTATCTACAGCCCTCCTTCAGTGCTGTAAAATGCTGGAACTTATTCCTCCTATCTAGCTGTAATTTTGTGTCCCTTAATCTTTTCTTATCCTTCCTCCCAACTAAAGCATACATTTAAAACAAGAATAAGAAATACAAAGTTTGAAGTGCTCATTCCTTTCCTGTTAGAATAATCTAGTTAATTTTTTATGGGCTTAGATTATCTAAACTCAAATGCCTTTGTAGAGTTTTCCTCCAGGGAAATCCACTGCAGCTGTATAAATTTTCCTCTTTTTTTTCATATTTATTGATGCACAAATATTGACTGAGTTCTTGCAGTGATATTCCAGGAGTTGTTCCAGGCTATTTGGAAGCAGCAATGAAGAAGATGGAAAAGGTTCTTGTTTTCAGGGCATTTGCGTGTGCATGTGGGTGCATTTATGCACGTGTGAGGAGGTATAGAAATGGGATGCACATACATTGTTTTCAGTAAATGATGAGTATATACTACTAAAATAGGATAAAGTGGTAATATAATATAGGATGACTGCTGAAGTGCTGTTATGTAGGGTGATCAGGAAGGGTCTCTTTGGGGAGTTGGCCTTGTTAACACCTGAGTAAAAAGGAACCAGCCATTTGCAGGTAGAGTTAGGAGGGCTTTCATAACTTCCTTCTGAGTCTATAACAGAAATAATTCAACACACACAGCCAATTGCTATTTAAAATTACATAACCCTGTCATCTAGCCTATGGATATATACCTTGTCATGGGTTTTGATTGTATGAAGGATGGTCATCAGTATATTGAACTATTTTTATTAAAGTTAATGTAAAATATTTTTGACATGAAATGGCATTCGTGAAATATTGTTGGGTTAAGGGACTAAATTCTAAAACTATGTATTGTATGATCTAATTTTATTAATTGAGTGATTTTGACTTTTTAATTTTGATAATATGCATATTTTATAATAATGTGAATTTTTTATGTAATTAAAATAGCTAAAAGAAAAGCAATTGTAATAATAAAATTTTCTGAGAAAGGGCCATACTTATTCTTGAGGAAGGAATTGATAATGGTAAAATACGTTTTTACAGTGAGAAATACATTTAGGTAGGAACTACATTATTTGCTTATTTTATATCTGTGCTTCTTATACAGATAATTGCATCGCTTTCTTATTTAAAAAAAACCCCTTCATTAAAAAGCTTGCTATTATTCTTATTTTCTAGAGAAATTAAGGCGTAGAGAAATTGTGTAACTTGTTAAGGTTACACCTGGAGTTAAAGCAGAAGAACCAAGTTTTAAACTTAGGTTTCTCTCTTGACAAAGTTCAAGTTCCTAGCCACAGTGCTTTACTGCTGTTAAAGAGACTATTTTGTAATATGGGAAGGTGCTTCATAATCCAAGGCTTCACTACAGGTAAATTTCTCAACTTCATATGGTAATGGGAGCATGAGGCAGGAAGGTAAGCTAGCACCGCACCCATGACATAAAACGGGTGTACGTATACATTCCTGTGACCTGGAGAATTAGTGCACATGGAAACTGGAGAAGGCCCATGGGACCTTACATGAACAAGGAACTAGATAGGAATCACTCCTTTATAAAGCTAGGTACACAAAGAGCTACACTGTTAGTGAGAGGACGAGCTAGAAAACTAATCATAGAAGCAGTTAACAAAGTCTGATCTTGGCTTTGGGTGAAGGATTTAAAAAAATTTTCTCTGAATATTCATGGTCACTGAATAGTCAGCCAATTGGGGTTTGAGACAGATATTCTATGACCAAGAAGATGTGTATTGAGAATTACAAAATAAAATTATATTAGGTCTGTAGCACCCCAATTTCTTGACAGAGGCGAGCATGAATATTTCCTAGAAAACCCACTTTCACTCCAGTATTTAAAGAATTCTGAAAGATAAATTTATATCAAATTACATAATGCACAAGGAAATAAACCACCCTGAATGAGAGCCAGCAGACTACTGAAAACCAGATGTAAAAAGGCATCAAATGCTGGCATTGTCAGATAAAAATTCCCAATAGATGCTTAATATACTTATAAAAAGAAAATAATTTTAAAATACACAAGGAACAAGATGAATGGCCACTTATATTTGTAAATGACCCAAATGGATTTTCTAGAGATAAAAATTCTATACTTTAGATGAACAAAGTCAGTTGAAAAGTCAAATTAGAGGCTTATTGGAATTGAGGTGTGAATTAGTAAACTCAAGAGCAGTTTTAAAGAAATTACCCAGATTGCATCACAGAGAAGCAAAAAGAAGAAAAATATGACTGAATAGGGAAAGAGACTAGATGATAGTATGAAAGTGAACACAAGCTATAGCTATACCTCTGGCCATCTCTTCAATAAAATGTGGACAACAATCAGGTATACTAATTTAAGGTTTGTCCCTGAGAGGATTTCCCTTCAATATTATCTTTTGGAACCATATTTGTGTTAGAGTATAATGATCCTTCCAGGGTAACATGAAGACCCATCTAAAAAATGAGCCCATGTTTCTCAATTGAAAATATGGAATTTCCATAAAACCTTGGGTGTGGTTTGAAGATGAGGAGAAAAGTATGAATGAGTACCAAGAGATTCTGAGATGTGCTCTTGAAGTTGAATTGTGCCTTCTTCCAGCTGTGCTTAAGTATGGTCTTAATGATATACTTTCCATTTATTAACAGAGAGAATTCTCTGGGCACAGCCAACTTTACAATTTTGCAGATCAGATAATACCTTGTTCTGAATGCCATTATGAGGCATTCATTACAGAGCCAGTAGCAACTTTTCAAAAGAAGAATGGTCGTTGGCAGGTAAGAGTGTGGCTTTACACCAAAACTCTGCACCTGTCTGCTGGGCAGTTTGCCTGGTGGCCTTGGACCAACTCAGTTCTCCCCCATTTATTGCTTGTAGTTCTCAAGAATAACTGTAGAATGTGCTGGGAACGTAACATCCTGAGATAAGGAGGTACAGAGCCTGGGCTCTGTTCCAGTCCCTCCTAGAAATAGGATGTCCTTCAATGCTTTAGCAAACATGTCAAGTTGCTCTAGGATATAAAACCCAGGGTGGCTGCTCTCTGGGTCCCTCAGTGGCAGTGCAGGTAGGGAAGGCACAGTTAAGATTTCATCCACCCTGGCAGCTTTCCTGAGCCCAGTGGGACTGGCTTTCCCTAAATCTTTGGCATCTGTTTTCCCTTGTTGCCTATATGTAGGTAATAAGCATTCTATGTAGTTTGTGTGTGAGAGCATTCTTTCTCTCTGGAATCTGGAAAGCAACAAAAGTACAGCCCAAGATGCAATGGTCTGAAGTTGCAAATCAAGGCACAGTGAACTTATTCCACACTGCCTTGTGGTTCTCTTACTGAGGAATGCCAGGAGCGCCATAGAGCATCCCTATCTATCATAGGCTCTTTAAAAACAACTGGGTCTGCTTAGTCTATGGCCCAAGTAGCAGGAAGCTTTCATCATGGGCTTGTTCTGCCACAGAACCCTCTCTTGCACTGGCCCCAGCTTTGCAAATTACATGCTAAAAGGAATAGAGTAGCACAATCAAATGCAGCATATCCAAAGTTCAATTCAAAGTCCAAAGAGGACTAAGCATTGCACCTCTTCCTTTGTGGTAGATGACCTAAGGCACGGCAGCTTACTTCTCACATTAGAGGAGATATTTCAACATGCCCCAAACCTGCGGACCACTCCCAAACTCACCATTATAGAAGGTTCCTGAACTTTGAAGATTTTATATTGACTTGGGATGCATGTGTCATATCAAGGCATCTAGAGGACTTTATAATTCCTATTCACTGAGAACAACCAGATGTCATCAATGTAATGTACCAGCTTTGTTTCAAGATGACTAAAGTTCTTCCAAAATATATTGTGATCAAACACCAGCTAAACAGAGCGTGGAGATAAAACAGTTAAAAGCTATGACTGACCCTGCCATTTGAAGAAAACTGTATCTGATTGTTTTTGTTGGGTATTTCTGAGCATTCATCTCGAAGAAATTTTACCCTCAACTTTCCAGGAGCCACTCTTCCTGCTGTGGACAGAACTCTCCAGCTAGTCCTAGAGATGCTCTTCTTATCCCCAGTCTACCCATTCATACCCATGCTCACCCGCAAGCACAGAAACAGCTGTGTCTGCCCAAGAGCTGTGGTTTCCTCCCTCCGTTTCACCTTGGCAGGGCCCTCAGGCTCATGTGAGGGGAGCTGGGTAGGAGGGAGCTAAGGTTCTTGCTCAGATCTTTGATCTGTGCCCAGCACTGTGTCTCCAGCACTGCAGAAGTATATGCCGCTGTCTTCGGGACTCATGTTGCTCACATTCAGAGTTGAGAATGTTAGACTTGGGCGGCTAATGGGAAACTTGTCTCCAGCAAATCCTTTCTCATATGTGGCCCCAGAGCCCTGATTTGCAGTTGCAATCAGTGTCATGCTCTGTCTGGGGAGCTGACGGTACCAGAACATCAAGTTGACTTGGCTATCAACATGACACTGGATTGTCATGGAGGTTCCACGTTGACAGATGCCCCTGCTTGGCTTTTGAGAGACGACAGCACCAAACACAGAACCTAGTTCCAGAGAGGTATTCATGGGAGCCGACAAGCTTGGGGTTAGATGTCTCCCCAGGCAGGAAGGTCTCCTTTATCTCTCCAGTACCACCTCAGCTCCCAAAGGACCCCAGGGCACTGCCTCCTTTTTGTTGTGCCAACAATTACTCTGTTTTGGTCCTTTAATCAAGCATATCCCTTTCATCCTCTGTCTGGTGGCTTCAGACTCTCTAGAGAGAAAGTCTTTCCACCCCTCCACCCAGTGTTACCATTAATCCCAGACTCCTCACAAGACAAGGCTCATACCTTGTCCCAGGAGAAGGAGTAGGAGAGTCAGCATCTTAAAGTGATGGCCTCTTCCCTGAGAAAAGGCACTAAGAAGACAAACTCAAGTTGATCTTTCCTTCCCACAACATATCTCCTTCCTGCTCTGTTCTCCTCCTCTAACAGGTGGTTGAGTTTCTGCAGGGTATGAAAAAAATCAGTTCCCCCTAGTGGAACTGTGTGGTTCTTCACTTAGGATGAGTCTTCATGCACAAGCATCGCAGCAGGCACTGGCCACTCGCCACGGTTCTCCCACCCCTTGTCCATCCGTCATTACTGAACACCGGTCTGTGCTACTGTCTGGGTATAGAGCAAAGAGTGGGGTGCAGAATTGACTTCAAAGAACTAAAGGTAACATTTTAGAATGTAAGGGAACCTCATAACAGTATCTTAACTGTCTGCGGGGTCTTCATGGTTGTCCCAAACTGAACTCATTCATTTTCCAACACATACACACACCAATAAACAGGCTCTTATTCCTCAGTTCCCCTCCCCCAACAAGTGGCATCCCCACTCTTCTTCCACTTTAGGCTCAAAAATTCCATAAGCCTCTTTTTCACTCACCTACCTTGTCGATTCACACATTAAATGCATTGTCTCTTATATCTCTTTCCTTGTTTCAGTTGTCACAGTCATAACTATTTTTTTTGGTTCTGTTTAATTCCTGGACATTTGCAATATGGTTTTTTAAAATTTCAACTTTTATTTTAGATACAAGGGTATATATGCAGGTTTGTTACATGGGCATATTGCACACAGGTAGCGAGCCAATGAAAGCAACAAGCCCAAGAGGAAAGAGTTAAATCTTTAATTATCTCCTTCAATAGTGTAAGCAAGAGTCTAAAGGTAGAGAAATGACTGACTCCCGCTTGTTCCATTTTTCCCCATGGAAATAGCACTGGTCAAGGGTTAGTTGGATTAGTACAGACATGGGGTTGTCTCACCGTTGGGGGGCCTTGCAAGGTGAAAGTAAAAACTCAGTGGATACGGAGAGTGGAGAAAACTGTCTTTAAGCTTCTCTCTTCCTCTCCTATTAGGAGGCCTTGACAGAGGTACCTAAAGAAGACCTCTGCATAGGCCTTGAATAAAGAGACCTAAGAATGAAGGATCCTGAGCTGGGAATATAAACATTCATGAGGGTGTGACCAACTGGGGGTCCTTGAATGCAACTCCTTTCAAAGACTGCAGTGTATTAGCTGTGCACCAAGTCTGGGGTGGGCAGGACAGCCTCCCATACCCTGTAAGCCTGCCAGCTAAAGCCTTTGTAATTAATTACCTGTGGCCTGAAACATCATACATAGGCTTCTAACCAAGAGTGGGACCTCTCATAAATTCTTTGTGTGTTCATATACCTTCTAGATTAGCTTTTCAGTTTCTTTGAAAAAAACAATAACAGTTGGGATAACAATTGAGATTTTAATGACTGTAGATAAAATTTAGAGAGTACTCATTTTAATATATTTAGTCTTTTTAAAAATTCCCACTTTTATTTTAGATGCAGGGGGTACATATGAAGGTTTGTTACATGGGTATATTGCATTCAGGTAGCAAACATAGTACCCAAAATGTAGTTTTTCAATCCATGTCAACCTCCCTTTCTCTGCCCTTAGGTAGCACTCAGTGTCAATTGTTCCCATGTTTATGTTCATGTGTGCTCAATGTTCAGTTCTCACAAGTGAGAACATGTAATATTTGGTTTTCTTTTTCTGCATTAATTTACTTAGGACTATGGCCTTCAGCTTCATGTTGCTGCAAACAACTTGATTTCATTCTTTTTTAGGGCTGTGTAGTATTCCATAGTGTATATGTTTCTTCATCCAATCTGTCATTGATGGGCACCTTGGTTGATTCCATGTCTTTGCTATTGTGAATAGGATGGTGATGCACATATGAGTGCATGTGTCTTTTGGTATAATGATCTAGTTACCTTTGGTTATATAACCAATAATGGGACTGCTAGGTGGGATGATAGCTCTGTTTTAAATTATTTGAGAAATCTCCCAACTGCTTTCCTCAGTGCCTGAACTAATTTACATGTCCACCAACAGTGTATAAGCCTTCCCTTTTCTCTGCAGCCTCATCAGCATCTGTTGTTTTTTGACTTTTTAATAACCCCACTCTGACTGGTATGAGAATGGTATTATTAAAATGAGATATATGATGTCTCATTGTGGTTTTGATTTGAATTTCTCTGATGATTGGTGATGTTAAGCATTTTTTCATATGTTTGTTAGCTTCTGTCTTCTTTTGAGAAGTGTCAGTTCATGTCTGTATTCAGCCATTGTTGCATTGCTATAAAGAAATACACAAGACTGGGTAATTAATAAAGAAAAGAGGTTTAACTGGCTCATGGTTCTGTAGGCTCTATAGGAAGCATAATGCTGGCATCTGCTCCTGGAGAAGCCTTAGGAAACTTACAATCATGGCAGAAGGCAATGCAGCAGCAGGCATGTCACATGGCCAGAGCAGGAGCAAGAGCAAAAGGTGGGGGGAGGGGTGCCACATACTTTAACACAATCATATCTCCTGAGAATTCACTCAGTATCTCAAGGACAGAACTTCCCCCCATGATCCAGTCACCTTCCACCAGACCCTACCTCTAACACTGGGGATTACAATTCAACTTGAGATTTGGGGAGGGACAAAAGCCAAACTACATTGATGTCCTTTGCCCATTTTTGATGTTTTTTTTGGTTGTTGTTGTTTCTTCTTGTTGAGTTGTTGAAGCTCCTTATACCAGAATGTATTAGACCTTTGTCAGATGCATAGGTTGCAAATATTTTCTCCCATCCTGTAGGTTGTCTGTTTACTTGATAGTTTCTTTTGCTATATAGAACCTTTTTAGTTAATTAGATCCCACCTGTCTATTTTTTGTTTTTGTGGCTATTGCTTTTGGGGACCTGGCCAAAAATTAATTGCCAAGGCTGATGTGGACAGGGATATTTCCTAGGTTTTCTTCTAGGATTTTATAGTTTGAAATCTTACATTTAAATATTTAATCCATCTTGAGTTAATTTTTGTATAAGATAAAAAGTACGAGTCTAGTTTGATTCTTCTGTATATGGCTATCCAGCTATACTAGCAGTATTTATTGAACAGAGTCCTTTACCCATTGGTTTTGTCAGCCTTGTAAAAAATTAGATGGTTGTAGGTAGTTGTGGCTTTATTTCTGAGTTTTCTATTCAGTTCATTCTGTTTCATTAGTCTATGTGTTTGCTTTTGTACCAGTACCATGCTGTTTTGGTTACTGTAGCCTTATAGTATAGTTTGAAGTTGTGTAGTGTGATGCCTGTAGCTTTGTTCTTTTTGCCTAGGATTGCTTTGGCTATTTTGGTTCTCTTTTGCTTCCGTATGAATTTTAGAATAGTTTTTTTTTTCTTAATCCTGTGAAAAAATGACACTGGTAGTTTGATAGGAATAATGTTGAATCTATAAATTGCTTGGGGCCGTATGGTCATTTTAATGATACTGATCCTTCCAATCAATGAGGATGGAATATTTTTCTGTTTATTTGTGTGGTCTCTGATTTCTTTCAGCAGTGTTTTGTAGTTCTCCATGTAGAGATATTTCACCTCTTTGGTTAGTTGTATTCCTAGGTATTTCATTTTGTGTGTGTGCCCATTGTAAATTATTGATTTGACTTTCAGTCTGGGCATTATTAGTGAATAGAAATACTACCAATTTTGTACATTGATTTTTGTATCCTGAAACCTTGCTAAAATTGTTTCTTGGTTCCCGTAGCCTTTTGGCAGAGTCTTTAGTATGGATTTTTGCATCTCAATTTCATTAAGTTCTTCTCTAATTTTAGTTGTTTCTTTTCTTCTGCTAGTTTTGGGGTTGGTTTGTTCTTTTTTTTTCCTTCTAATTCCTTTAGGTACAAGATTATATTGTTAATTTTTAATCTTTCTAACTTCTTGATGAAGGTATTTAGGGGTATAAACTTTTCTCCTAACAATGCATTAGCTGCATCCCAGAGATTTTGATCAGTTGTGTCTCTGTTTTCATTAATTTCAAAGAATTTCTACATTTCTGCCTTAATTTCAAAGTTCACCCAGGAGTTATCTATGAGTAACTTATTTAGTTTCTATGTATTTGTGTAGCTTTGCAAGATCTTTTTATATTGGTTTCTTGCAGTATGGTCTGAGGGGGTGCTTGAGATGATTTCAATTTTTTTTTTATTTTATTAAAACTTGCTTTATGACTGAATGTATGGTTAATCTTAGAATATGTTCTGTGTGCAAGTAAGGACAATATATATTCTGTGGTTGTTGGGTGGAGTGTTCTGTATTTGTCTATTAATTTCAATTGGTCAAGTGTTGAGTTTAAGTCCAGCATTTCCTTGTTAGTTTCCTGCCTCAGTAATCTGTCTAACACTGTCAGTGGGGTGTTGAAGTTTCCCACTACTATTGTTTGGTTGTCTAAATCTTTTCATAGGCCAAGAAGAGCTTATTTTATGGATATGGGTGCTCCCATGTTGGGTGCATATATATTTAGGATTGTTAGATCTTCTTACTGGATTGTACTATTTATTATTATAGTAATGCTCTTCATTGTTTAAAGTCTGTTTTATCTGATGTAAGAATAGCAAATTCTGTGCTTTTTTTCATTTGCATGGTAGATATTTCTCCTTCCCTTTATTTTGAGCACGTGGGCGTTGTTACATGTGAGATGGGTCTCATGAAGGCAATGATGGTTGGGCCTTGTGTTTTTATCCAGTTTGCCACCCTGTGTCTTTTAAGCAGGTGTTTAGCCCATTTATATTCAAGATTATAAATAGATTGATATGTGTTATTTTGATCTCATACCTGTGTTCTTAGCTGGTGTTATGTAGACTTGATAGCATAGTTGTTTTATAGTGCCTGCGGGCTATGGCTTAAGTGTTTTATGGCAGCAGGTTCTTTAGATTCTGTATTTAGACTCCCTTAAGGACTTCTTGTAAGGATGGTCTACTTAAAAAAAAAATCCCTCAGCATTTGCTTGTCTAAGAAGTATTTTAATTCTCCTTTATTTATGAAACTTAGTTTGGCAGGATATAACATTTTTAGTTGAATTTGTTTTCAGGATGCTGAAAATAGGCCCCAATTTCTTCTGGCTCATAAGTTTTCTGCTGAGAGGTCTGCTGCTAGCCTGACGGGGTTTCCTCTGTATGTGACTTGACCCTTTACTCTAGCTGCCTTTATAATTTTTTTTCTTTTACACTCACTTTGGTGAATCTGATGATTATATGTCTTGGGGATAGTTGTCTTGTATGGTAGTTAACCAGGGTTCTCTTTATTTCTTGGAATTGAATTTTAACCTCTCTAGCAAGATTAGGCAATTTTTTTGGTGTTTTTCAAATATATTTTTGAAATTGCTTACTCTTTCTCCTTCTATTTCGGGAATGGCAATGAGTCATAGATTTGGTATCTTTACATAATCCTATATTTCTTAGAGATCTAGTGCATTTTTTTTTTTTCTTTATT